CAGGCTGAAACACCTTGTCACCCCTGGGAGGAAAGYGAGTGTCCTGGGCCATGGGGTTTTGCTGCCACAGCCCTGCGAGTCTGGGCTCTGCATCAAGCGCGCTGCAGCACCTCGGGTGCAGAGGAGKTCGGGCAAGCAGCGGCTGTTTCTGCTTTGCCCCCCTGCAGCTGCCATCCTGCTGGGGCTGTTTTCATCTCTGTTTCTCCTCAGGACGAGCCTGCTGCTCCCTCACTGCTGTTTTCCAGAGCTGCTCTTGCTCCCGGCAGCTCTTTCCATCGGAGGCAGCTCAGGCTCCACACAGCCCATCCAGAGGGCTGGGGAGGCACTGCCATGTGCCCTTTCCCCTGCACACATCACTGCCATAAAATCACAGTGACAGCAGGGGAATGCTAAAAATTCATCCTCCTTCCTCAAAAATAAATAGAGAAATAAATACATAATCCAAAGCTTTTTGTGTTATTCAATCTCTTCTTTCAGTGAGGAAGAAACTCCCTTTAATAGAAAAGAGCTTTGGCAGAAACTAACAGGACCTGATAGGAACTTGCAGCATTTGGAAAGCACCTTTGCTGTCCCTCCTGCAGTTTTGCTCTGTGTAATGGTGACACTGGTCACTTCTGTGCCCAGATCCTGCACCCAGGGCATCATTATCCAGTATCTCCGGCACTGGGGAGACCTGGAGAGCAGGGACTGGTTACTGCCCCTTCCTCCCTCAGTGATCTGAGCAACTCYGGGGACAAAAACAAGCCTCTTCACCTGCAGCAAAATTCCTCGTGTAGCAGGTTTATTGATACAGGGGCAAATAGGAAGAATGCGGGCACTTTTCAGATTATATCCTTTTTTAAAAATAATTGTTGTTCTTTTGACAAAGGCTACTGAGTGTCCCATCCTGGGGCACCCCGCCTGCTATGGGACTGTGCTCTCYGGGCAAGGAGCGCACGCGTTTTCCTGCACCTCTGGCTTCTTGGATTCATTAACTTTCCTCCGGCTTCTCTCTACTTCTGTGGCCTCTTTTGCCTCCTTCTTCACAAATACACAAAGTGTCACAACATAATAGCCAGCAAAACATCACCACCCACAAGTGTCTTGGCCGCAGACTGCTATTATTTCAACTTTCTGCTTTCTTAACGAATTTAACTTTCTTAGAGCTTTCTGACACAGAGCATGCTGCTCTTGTCCAACCCAGGAAACAAAATAAAAGTCTCTGATACATCTGACTCTGCCACTTTCATCTCACCTTATTATTTCTTTCTAATCTTTTAAAAGGGAGACAAGGGAGAGGTTTAACCAGCCAGCACCAAACGAGCCTTGCAATGGCTGGTAAGGGTGGTTTGGCAAGTCAGCAGCAGCATCAAAGGCAGGAACAGCTTTTCCCTTTCTTTTCCTTGCCCTCTCTGCTCAGCTCCATCCAACTGCAGCAGGAACAAGCYGAACTCCCTGAGCCGAAGCCAGAACAGCTCCTGCCTCTGCCGCTCTCTCCTCAATAGGGCGTTGCAGGCARCAGCAACAGAGGGTTCCTGCGTGACTCAAAAGCAAAATAGAAAAGCACAAGAAAAAGTGAATCACGGGCTGGGAGCTCAAAAGTTTTCACACTTGTGTGGCCCCTGACTGACTCATTTCTTTTTTTTTTTTTCCCTTTCTGCTCTCACTTCCTTTAACCCCAACATTTACTTTCCTTAGTTGTTTAACAAAAATGCCATAAAGTGGCTGCTTAGTATCACAACTATGCTGACAAAATCCTAGCAGGCTGTGATTAACTTTACTGTAAGAGAAGAGCTGTAAAATTCATTGCTGCAATACTAATGGAATAAGCTAATGCACTARAAATTTTATACTGCTATGGTTACTTCCACGAGGTTTTATTTTTGAAAAAAAAAAAATGTTCACTCAATCAAGCATCAAAAAACAAAGAAGCAAAAAAAACCAAACACTTCTAAAGCCCCAGTGACATAGTTCCGCTGGGGAAAAAAAAACATTCCATTTGGGCATGAGTCTCTACCAAACCCCAACAAAAGTTATGGTTATTTATGTGGCACTGGAAGAATAAGCAGCAACCCAAGCTCCTTGCAGCACTACCACAAGTGTCTCTCCAAAGGTACCACGTACCTCTTGCTGCAAACAGAAAACTCGAGAGATTAAAAAGGAAGATCATGCTGCATCTTTATTTCATTGCTCAGATTGTATAAAAAACACACACAATTCTTTCATTCATTTAGCCAACACATTCTCCTGCCATTTGTTGTTCATGTTTTTTTTTTTTTTTCCTAGAAATAAAACAGAAGCTCTGCACACACGAAACAAAAACATTTTGAATAAAAATACAATTTTGGATTTTGCAACATGTTAAATTTGGAGCACTGAGCAAACTGGCAGCAGCGATATATTCTAGAAGCGCAATTAAAACCAAGAAATGCATCTACTCATCGACAGCCACTGTTACACATGCACAATCCTGCAACTCCTCAGAAAGTAAAATCACTCTCTCTCTTGAGCTGTTTCTGCACTTTGCATTTGGGTTGCTGTCTAAAATCCTGCTGCTGCCGGCACTGCTGCTCGAGATGCCTGGAAGGGGCAGCTCATTGCGCACACGGAGGTGACACAGGAGGTGCTTGGGTTGATAGGAGCAGGGTGATTTTATTTTCCTAAGAAAATTGCCCAGAAGCTGGACCCTGATTACATGCAATGACGTAGGTTCCTGAGGTAAAACCATGCCTTTATATCCATCAGAGCGGCCGGTGTTTTGCCTGGYCCATCACTGTAGAATTAATTCCCTGCGAGTTATGCGTTGCTTTGTGCATGCAATATTGTCAGCAGATTGCTTGGGCAAATTATTGTGCCCAAATCCAGGCGGTTGCTGCTCTGCAGTGACATTTAAAAGCGCCTCCGAAGGGAAGAAAACCAGCAGCTGTGTTATTTCTACGGGCCACAACACCATTACGGTATGTGATAATACAGCCTCAGAGTAACAAATCCCAATTTATCTACAAATTAGATATCCAGCTGGTGCCATCTGCCTGTCGGTGGTTACATATCACCCAGCTCCTACATCGGGAGAGCCTGCAGAATTTGCTATGACTGCCCAATTCCCACATGGCTCTGTGACCGGCCTATTAAATAGCATAAGATAAACAGCATAAGATAGAAACTTTCTGGATGATTAACTGTTATTAAAGTGCCAGCACGATGCAGTCACACTTTTGGGGACCATSAGGGCAGCCCCAGTGCTGTCCTGGACCTGCCATGCTGGGAAGGTTCAATCCAGACCCACTGAACTCAGTGAAACCGAGGAGAGACTCAGTTTCACCCACCTCTCCAAAAGGATCAAGCCCAGACTTACCATTCAACCGYTGGCAAAACAGCATAATGGAAAAAGTTACACGTGACCCGGCCAAAGTTTATATTAAATGAATATATTTTTTTGTTATGTATTGKGATGGCATCTGACACAATGAAGGGAATGTACTGCAAGGTGATTCACTGTTGTGACAYGGAGAAAGCCATCTGGCACAGCATCTATTTAGGGAGAGCTATTTTTTTGTAAGCCACACTGCACCAGGCAGTAACATATAAATTTAGAGCAGTTTAAAGTTTGCTCTTCTTCTGAAAATCCTGTCAAGCTATATATAAATTTTATATTTTTTTTAATACTTAATCACCCTGAATTTTTTACTTTAACGTGGATAATAAAATACACATTAGTGCAAAGAGAGACAACTTTAAACATGGAACTAAAGGGTAAATATATTAATCACYGTGATAAGATATTAATTCTTTTCTATTTTTATAGTTTACTTAACAATAAATATAATCTAATATATAAATGAAAACATATTTGATATGTAAATTTTAATTTACAGCATAAAATCACTGAACTATAGAACCACTCAGGTTAGAAAGAACCGTATGAGGTCATTTAGTCATCTACTAGTCATCTAGTAGATAAGCATCACATTTAATACAGCAAAATCTGCTTTGGTAAATAAATAATTCTTAATTGACATAGAGCACATTTGCTTTAAAAACTTCCTTCCAGTGACTGACGTTATTCACATGGCAATAAAAACACAATCACAGCTGAAGGCAACACAGTTTGAAGGCAATGCCTGAAAACAGGCAGCAGGGAGAGATGACCACAGTGCTTAATACAGGAGACTCTCCTAATGCAGCAATTCACAAGACAGGCAAAATAACGTTGGATTTTATTCTATTATCCATTTCTAACACCAGCAGTGCTGCTAATATTTTATTATTTTGGCAAGGAAAAATGAGAGGCTCACAGACTTTCATTAACACTTTGGGAATTGAGCATTGTCCCTGTCAGTCCCAGTTTCTTAGAGCAGAGCCTCCAGCAGAACGTGGAAAAGAGTCATGGAGAATGAGCCGCGTGTGCAATGAGCAATGTGAGGCTGGTGCCAGGCAATTCAGCAGCCTGATTTGTGGTTAACCTCAGTGCAGAGACCGGAGTGTCCCGTTCTTCATCCCAAACCTGCTCAGCAGTGGGGCCATCCCTTCCCCATTCAGCGTGCTGGGTACTTCTGCTTAGTCTCCATGCAGTCACATTCCCTRCCCACCAGGTGTTGGTGCTGATCACCTAACTTTGGGGCTGTGCCCTTAATTTGGAAAAATAAATTATTTTTGTTTCTCTCCAGTCTTTGAGAATTTGACAGCCAGGCTCTTCTGTCATTCCAGGTCTTCAAGAAATGCAGCTATCACAGTCAGTGAGGGAAAAGCATCTGCTCAACAGAAGATCCCCAGGAAAGCTGTGAGATAACTCCATCCACAGGGTTTAAGGRCTTGTCACAAAACAAACGTACTAAACCACAGAAAGATTTCTGTAGGCCACATGCTAGCAATCTTCATTTCGATGTCCAGGTCCTGCAGTATCAGGCAACATAAATGGCTTCCTAGTGCTGAAGCAATCACAACGTTGTGTGCTATTATTGCAGATTTTCCAAGGGGATGCAAACCAAAGGGCAGTAAGTAACATATAGAGAAGGAGAACTCTATTTGTATCGTCTCCCTTCCCTCCTGGAATAGTAAGTAATGAGGAATATAGTAACAATAAAAGCAACAAATATGAAAGCAACATAGGCTAATAATGATTTTCTTGTTCGGAAAAAGTGACATTTGGGACATGAGAGAGTCTCTTCAGGGCATATAACCTCAGTTTCAGGTCTAGGAAAGCCATTATTATCAATTATTTCTCTGTAACGTTTCATAGAGGGCTTTGGTTCATACTGATTTGCAACGTAACTGTAGAGACCATAATTAGGAGCAGTCTTGTCATTAAAAGAATAGAAAAAATATCCTTGTAGGTTAACGTTATCCAGGGTGTAAGCTGAAAAACAAAACAAAGTATTGAAAAAGGAGTAAAAGGCATTTTGGCATTCAAGAGCAGTGTAATACAATATATAGGCAAGGGCAAGAGAGATGTCAAACGCAGATCTACACTTCTCTGCCCAAAGATAATATATGTGGATATTCATAAAGTGTTTGTCATAAAGAGTTTGCAAACATTTTCCAAGTTTTATGATCCTACACCATATATTTTTTTCTTTTGTATACAAAGTAATGAATGTATGATTGCTTCATGAYCAGCATCGAGCCTATTGTGTGATGGCTCTTCTAATTTACAAAAGAGAGTAAGTTTGGGTTTTCTGCATGCTCTGAGCTTTCTTTGTGTTTCTCTGATTACTCTTTCTCCCTTGCGGAGATTCTCTGGAGTGGGAAGGCTGAGGAAGGCGGCCAAGAGGCCRCACTTCTGACTAGCAAATGTGCACTGACATCAGGCAAACACACGTGCCAGCGCTGAGCTCATACCCTGGAATGCCATCAGTGCAAGTGGAAAGGTCATGCACATCACAGGCTTCTCTGGTTATTGGCCTGCTTCTGATCCAAGATGATGTGCGTTGCTCTTTATTGGGAACACGTTCATATTCCATACTGCTAACTTACCTATCAGCAGCAGCATTAACCTTGAGCCRTCAGTCATCCTTGACAAAACCAGACAGTTTGCAGTAATAAAGGCAAGCTGCAATAGTTTATACCTCAAAATCACTGCTTTAATTACTTTGCTCAAATTAAAGCAACATCTTCTATCATATACCTTTCAGTTACGTGAAGAACTCCCAAATTTTCCTACTCCCTGTGAAAATAATTCTTTCTGCAGACATATGAAAGGCCCTTAGCACCTCTGACCTTTCTATGTGTGAAATGAGTTAATATTTACCTGCCCTTTTACAGAGCTGCTACAAGGCATAATTACTTTGTCTTTGCAAAACTGCATATGGATGTTATGGCGTTGCATAAATGGTTACTGCTGTTCTTGGTTTTTCACTGCCAAAGATGTATTTTAACACTGTACAAAACACTTAGAAATACAGCCTTATCCCAAAGGACCCTATGCTGTAATCTGGAATCATTTATGTGCATAAATGGCTCTCCTGGAACAAGGCAGGTGAGCAATATTATACACCCAAATGCTTCCATGTACAGTCCCAGGAAACAGCTGGAGGAAAAAGGYACATGAAACCTAAGGCAAGACCACACGTGTACCAATACCTCCTCACATTTCCTCCAGTGTGGCAATGAGATAAGGACAGAATTTTTTAAATTAATGGGGGTTAGCACACAGGGGAAGAAAAAAAAAAGATCAAGTTTTGGAGAAATCTCCATCTGTCATGACGCCAAGACTAAGAGCTTTTCCCATGTGTGTGCACAGGAAAAAAAGCACAATACCAGAAAGAGAGAAGAAAAGCAAGAGTGAAAAAGCTGGTATTACTGCCTGAGCAAACCCTGTGGAGGAGGGTGATGTCAAATGCAGGAGTGACCTTTCAGGCAAGTGTTGGGGCTGGTTAGCAGGCATGTATTCACCCACACCCACAGTGTACAGAGTAAAATCTGCTTTGTCTGCAGTACTTATATTGAAAAATACGTAACCAATTCCAGGATGGACAGAAAAGAGAAGTGATACTAGACACCAGATCTATGCGAAATGAGTGTTCTTTAAAAAAGAGGACGTTTGATTATTTGGGATTTGGAGTAAAGCTCAGATTTASAAATCTTTGTACAGATCTTGGAAATTACAGTAGATATTCATGTTTAATACCAATCTGTTCAACTTTATGGAAAACAAATCTTGYCAAACTAACTCAACATTATTTTTTCTGAGAACAATAGATCAATAAATATAATGATGTTTGATATAATATACTCAGAACTTCACACGCTGGTTTACTGCATAGAATAAGGTATCTGGAGCACAGAAATAGAATGTATCTTATGAGGCCAAGGCAGGCCCATAACAAACAGCTTTAAACTGGTCTCAGCTAAAATTGAGACATCTGCAAATGTAACTGCAGATGAGGAAGCATCACCATGTTTTGCTACTGTGGTCTTGTCTCCTAGCACCAAGAATCTTCATGATTTTAAATATTTCATTGACCTGAAACAAAAAGAGGACCTTTTTTTTTTCTTTTCTCGCCAAGTCTGCAAATAACACAGCACAGCTAGTATAGCATGCTTGGCACATGCAAACTACTTGTATTTACTTGTACCAAATACTTGGAAGTCAAGGGACAAGAAGACTGCATCAGCTCAGAGGAGCTCTACAGGGTGGGCAGGGATCTGCACAAGCACTTTGAATTGCAGCAGATGATAACCACAGTGTGTAACCAATCCTCTGCCATGAGCAAAAGGGCTAATAGACTGCTTCAATGTATGAAACAGGAGTAAAAGGCTACGAGATTTTTATCTGCCTTGGGCATAAGTATGATTATTATAGGAACAGCGGGGCCAGGTGTGGGATTTATATCTTTCATGAAGAATGATGGCAAACTGCTCAGTAATCAAAAGTTTCAAAATCAGGTTTACAGCAAGGGGCACACAGACCTTTCTCTGCATTATTTATCAAAGAGCAGACTGAGAGGTGGCTTGTTTTCAGCCTGTGAATATCTACGTAGGCAATAAAAATGGAAACTCAAAACAATGGCTTAAAGCTGAAGCTAAAAAAGTAATGCTAGAAATAAGATTTTTATATATACATATATATACATAGATAGAGTAGTTGCTCAGTCACTACAACAGCTTACAGAGAGATTCTTCATTGATAAAAGTTTCTCTTTTTAGGAGTTGTGATTTTCTAAAAAAAAGTCAAAATACTCATTTTTTTTACCTTATAATTTATGAATCTTTAAGACAGAAAGACTGGTTTGAGCTCTGAATAGCAGGAAAGAGTTCAGGAAATAGCATAATGAGGTAGATAGCCGAATAATTACGAACACTGTTGAATAAGATACAGAGAGCTGAGAAACAGAACTCACACTGAACCCTGGGGCATATCAGCAGAGTGGGAAGCAACACAGCTAAACAACAGGAGAAGTGCAGCCAGAAGAAAATCTGACTAAATACATGTGGAGTTATTCACACAACATCTATTTAAATCTCTTGAATCAACATAGAAAGTTCTTCTGATGCTTTATGCAGAGTATGTGCAAAATCTGTCTTTTTGATGCTTAATAACATCAATTGATCATAAGCCAAACAAAAAAAATATATGTTATGCTAACAACATTTTTCTTTAAGAAAAGCATACTTCTATCACACAGTCTACACTAAACCATTTACAATTCCTTACCTTTTAAAGCTTCATTGAGATAATTCTCTATGTAATATACTCTGAGYTTATCGTGCACCATATTCTGACCATCATCAATTCCATTAGCCATAATGTACATTGGGACATCGCCATACTTGGATTTAACCCACTTGAGCATTTTACGCAGCCCCCAGGGCACCACTGCAGCTCGCCCAGGAGAGTGTAGCCATGTGATATCATTGATCATTTGAACTTCTAGAAAGTGATCGTATTTTAGAGCATCTTCTTTCTCCCAGCCCACAAGAGTAGTAGTGTAGTGACTTAAGGCAAAAAAATCAAATGAGCCTTGGATTAACTTCTTTTCGTCTTCTGAGAAATAAGGCAAGTGGAAATTATATAGATCAACACTGTTTCTTTGGTGAAGCCATTCTCTCATGATATGTGGGTAGTCACCATTCCCAAACACGGGCTCTGCAAGCCAGCCAATGTCAAATTCTAAAATTCTATCGGCAACTTCTTGGTCTTTTCTGGAAAAGGGACAAGCTGGTTCCACCCAGTCGGCTTGCAGAGCTATAGATATTTTCCCTTTCTGAGATCTCCTGAATTCTTTGTCATAAAGATGCCATGCTTTTGCATGGGCTTTCAACAGATGGTGCCCTGCAGTGTACGTCAAGTTCTTCACAGAAGGTTCATTTATTGTGATCCAAATCTTCACATGATCCCCAAGATTTGCAAAGCACAGTTTGGCATAGTCGGCAAAGGCCTGAACAGTTTCTGGGTTTTCCCAAGCTCCGTATTTGGCAAGTGAAGCTGGAAGCTCTTGATTCTCAGCCATCGGTTGCCATAAGGCAACAACAGGAGTTATGTTAACTCTGAGAAGTTCACTAGCAAAACACTGATAATAATGCACAAGCGTGTGGTTGATGACAGAAAGGTTACCTAAAGGAAGAATTGAAGACCACTTTAGTGAAAAATGGAAGTGTGTGACATGCATTTCCTGCAGAAGCGAGATCTGAAGCCTGATAGCAGCAAAGTCAACACAGTGACGCTTGCGTTTGGAGGTAAAAACTCCATCCACTTTAATAAGCCGCTTCGTCTGGTGAACRTCCCACACATAAACATTAGGGTCAAGAAACTGGGAGGGCGTCGTGTCTACCTAGAAGCAACAAGAAACACATCAGATACAAGCTGTTAGTTCTAGATGTGTAGGAACATCATAATCATCAGGCACAACTTCCTGAAGGATCACAAGTGAGAACATTGCGCTTAGCACCTCCGTCACATCTCTGATTCCATAACATATCTGACTCATAAGAACAAATTAGYCTTCAGTTAGCATGTGATATCAGAAAAGTACCAAATATATATTCATATAATATTCATCCTATTTTCCACACAAGCTTATGCTAGCAGTCACTGTGTTTATATTTTGTCCAGATTGCTCCATTCTGTAATGGAAATGAGGGACTAGGCACTAAATTTGCAATATCCAAAGAAGCAACCTTCAGCAAAGACTACAGTAATTAAAAAAAAAGTTCTTCTTTCAAGTTTAAGAAGTTATACTGAAAGGCCTACAGAGAGATTGCCTGTTGGAAATTGCCCAGTGGCTCTTTTCCATTCACTCCTTGAAGGCAGTAAGAGAAATAATAAATGCATCATCATTTATGTGTTCAGTTTTCGTCTTCCTAACTATGATTAAAGATGAGTAATGTTTTGCACTTGATTTTTAGCACGAACTCATTCTTGCTTCTTGCTGAAGTTCTTATTTATTTAACTCATACTGAACTCATTTTCAAATTCTTTCAGCAGGCTGTTGATCTCTGAATCGCTCTTTTCTCTGACTTCTGAGCAATGCTACTGTAAGACACCCCAACAATAAATATATTTCTCTTTAGGGCTAAAGCTTCTGGGGCTCCACATGTAGGAAGCACCTGTATGACCCACAAGGCAGAACAAAAGATGACCTTCTCAGAGTCTCTTAGAATTATACCTTTGTTTTTTTTCAATGAGTGTCAAAAACATAATAAGGAAAATGGAAAATAAAACAATGCACACCATAAAATTTCCTTCTCATTCATAAACTAGTATAACTCTTACAAAAAAAAAAAAAAAAGAAAGAAAAAAAGATCCAAACTACAAGGTAGGTGCTAGTCCTGTCAGTTCAGATTTCCTTGTCCTGCCCTCTGTTTGAAAAGCAGGTGTCAGCCTACAACCAGTGTTGTAGCTCAGGCTCTGCAGGTCTGTACAGAGAAGCTCCTGAAAATCAGTTGCTATTTTCTCTGGAGAGGTCAGTCCTGTGCTTATAGAAAAAAGCAATAAAAAACAGCATGTCTGAGCGAAATTGCWTTTCTGGAGAATTGTCCCTTGCAGATTACTAAAGCATGCATTTTCACTAATACTGCGGGAATGCTGTCAGAAGAGTTTTTTCACTGTGATGCATCTACAAATCACACTACCCACACTACCTAAGCCTCACAGCACAAAATGTTTGAATGGTCTTTTGAAATGAAAATATTCAGCTTTGAAGGTTTTGGCAGTGGGAGGGAATTTTTTAACTGTCTTGAGCTGACTGACACAGTAGCTTTGCAGCAGTTATTGATCCCAAAGGCAGCAATTCCATTTCCAATCTCTAATTTATCTGGGAGGCTGGAGAACACCGACCATTAAATCTTTTTTGGAAATCAACATGCCAGGTAGGGAGGTTGCATTATTTTTCAGGAGAACCAAGTCAGATGTTACTTCTGGAGTAAGAGAAAACAAACAAGGCCTCTATGTTCTAGCCTCAGGAAATATTCTGCCTTTGTGGAAAATCTAAATTAAAAATTCTGTTCTTGGACCCAGCCTTAAAGCTGAATTTTACTGCACATCTTTACTGTGGTTAGAGAATCCTTGTAAGCCAAAACAACATCTGAGAATTACCAAGCCAAACTGTTAAAGAGACCATAACTAAGCCACAATTTTTACACATGGTATGAAGCTTTGAAATTTGAAAGGTTGTCCTGAAATATCAAGTTTAACTGAAATCAAAAGACTTAGAATTGTGAACTGGATCCATGCTAAGTACTATCTGGGGTACTGCAGCCTCAGAAACAGATATGATGCTAAACAAAACAGCAAGAAAGGAATACAGAAATGTCATTTAACTTTAAGCTTCTCTATTTTTTCTTTTTCTTTTCTCACACAAAATTGCTCTAATAACGAAGCCAGAACATATATACGTAGCATGCAGAAACACACTCACTAGAAACATTAAGAGCTTTCAGAATCAGGAAATTCGCTAAACCATATACTACCAGAGCTCTCAAATATATTTCCATTAAAATTATGGACATGAATAAACAGTAATATTTCCTATGTCATACCCTAGGCCTTTTAGAAATACTGCATTAGGTCTAATCAATTTCTAAGCAAAAAGGACTGACTTTTGGTGACTGATCCCATAAAAAATGTTCAAGAGAGATGAACACCAGACCCACTCCTTTTTAACTGCTGTGCATTTTCTATGTTACTTATTATCCCTCAACCTCACTGGTTCTCACTGGTCACACAGAAATGTCTACCAAAGACTGAAAGACAAAATCTTTGATCCCAAAGCCTTGTGTCCATCTCCTCATAGCACTCTGATAATATATCACTTACCAACAAGGCCACCCAATGCATCAAAATCATTGGTATGGTCTTGTGCAGCGATGTGGTCGCAGAGCTGCCAGCTCTACCYACAGACTTACCTGGATGTAGTTGTCAACTATTCCCCAAGCAAAGCCACAGGGAAAGGTCCCTTCTATGGGCTGGTTTTCGGGCAAAGGMGGAAAGCCATTTTTCTCAATCAGCTTTCGATAGAACAAGACAGAAGATTTTGGTATCAGCTTCTTGTCATGGCTTTGAAAGTCAATATAAAACAACCCACGTCGGATGCTGTATCCTCTGTGCCACTCGAAGCCATCCAGGAGGGACCACACTGTGTATCCAAACACGTCAACTCCATCGTACCGAATGGCTGAGGAAAGAACAGGAATGAACTCATCACAATGTTCATTTTTTCTACACAGATTGCCCCTTATCAGCAACAATGGCAGCGTTCACGGGCAAGAACAGTGTGGTAGGTTAGATAAGCATCTCAGAGCCATTTCAAAGCCTGTGCGGGGAGGATATTTCAGCTGCACTCAGGTAGCTCAGAAGCAAACTTCTGGCACACAGGTCCATCGTGCATGGCAGCAGAGCTATCTGCCTGCGTTTGAAACCAGCCACTTGGAGAATGAAAAGCAGGAGATGGGGAAGGGCTGCACCACACACAGCAATGTGCACATTTTGGCTCACTCARAGGGGTCCCTAAGGGAGCTGCACCACGCTCACCAAGTTAGACTCCTCTTCCTCCTTCCCTTCCACTACAAATACCTTGGTAAGACCCTGATAAAACTTGTGCATTCTGATGGATTTTTATTCCCATAGATTTTTCAGCTGAAGTGGCAGTGCAGGGAGACTGTCCTTATGTGAAAATTCTGTCTCTTTCCATCTTTCATGGCATAGCATTGTCTGGCTTAAACATTTAGGAGTTTCTAAAAAATGTCCATGTATTCTAAACCCGCTCTTTGAATTTCTGCACCCCTTGTACGTTAAAATCAAGGTCTACTGGCATCTAATCGAATCACCTTTTTTTGAGATTTCCAAGTGATATTCACTTTTAGCTGCATTAAACACTGCAATTCAGCAAAACATTTCTGGGCCAGGCTTGGCTTTGGTAAAGCACAAAGGAAGCTGCTTATTTTCATTACTTAATTAGACCCACCCCAGTTCAGCAATGCATTTAAGCACATTCTTAAACGTTCTTTTGAACTCAAGTTTGGCTCCATAGCCAGAATAGTTTATCTTTATTACTCACCATCTTCTCTAAAGGCAAACTGGGTAGTGACTGAACACAGTATTTTCCAGCCTAGTAACACTGAAAGCATAATTCAGGCAACAGGAATATCAAGAGCCTCATTTCCTTTTTGTATTAATGTACCTCATTACAATCAGTTACAAAGGACCAAATGGATTCTTGATTGTAATACAGCTTGAATCAATTAAATTAACTTGAAGTTATATAAGCAATGGATCTGACCTARTCTCTTTCACAAGCCATGAGAAAATGTAGGAAAAATGAATATTTCTCCTCCTACAGGCATCATTCTTTTRTGTATGGTAAATATTGGTATTTTTCTGATCTCTGCACATGCACATGATGGGATCTACCATACCAGCATAGTAAAAGCCAGAACAGGTCCACTTTGTTAAGTAGCCAACAGTGAGAATTTCTCTTTGAACAGCATCTCATTCCTTCTCTAAGTCACCTGAGAGCATGCCCACATTTCCTGATCATCCCATAAAAATTCTCAACATCTTCTTTARAAATGTATTAACTCCTGTTCTCTGTTAAAGAAACAACTTGGGGAAAAAAATGGATGTTTGAATAGACTCAAACATGTCAATCCATAAGAATTGCATGTTACTGAAAATTGGCCATATTGCCTATTGGAAATAACTTCTGGTCTAGTGATACCAACTTGCAAGTGTGCTACTGCCCCAGCAAGAATGGGGCCAGAATTGTGTTAGCTATTAAACACAACTGACTGTCTCCTACCAGCACTTGAGTTCATGTTCTTCTAAGCCCTATAATATAAATATAGACCCTAGGAACCCCGACAGACCCATAACTACCAAACTTAGATCCTTAAAACACTCCTCTCAGGTGCTGTCCAAGCCTAGGGAAGTGCAAAGCCCGTGGCACCTGTTTCAGTGCAGAAGCTACTCAGAGTCCATGTCTTGCTTCTGGGCATAACTGAGAAGAGCTCAGTCCTGACTTGTCAAAGGCCTAATTGTCCCCACTCTGCTTAAGACTCTCTGAATCCAGACCCRCTAACTTCCAGGATAATTACCTAGCCACTAAGCTAGTCAAAATTACAGTACATGGGATCTCTCATGCCCTTCTGCTTCACTATACAAGGAATAATCAATTTATCCATAACATCAGAGACGCAGCAGGGAAGGGAATACAAACCTAGTGTAAGTGGTTAGACACTCATCCAAGTGAAAAGACACCTTCAATCAATCTTCAGCTCTAATTAATATTTAACTGCTTTATATTACAGTTTTATTCAATCCTCCAAGGTATTTAAAAACAGATCAATAAAAGAAGCAGTGAATGAGTCTGGGGCTGTGAATCATAAATGAACAGAGGCCCTTTGCCATAGCCAAGGAAAGGCTGCATGGGGCTCATCTACAGCGTGCAGAGCAAAAGCATGTGCACCTACCTCAGCATTTTAATCAAAATCAAGAGTGCCCTCCTGAAGCAAATCGCCCGATTTCCCCAGCATACTGGTTGGTTCTMACCAGAGTGGTCTAAGAAGGCATGAACTGGGTTTCTTTGTGGTAAAATTAAACTAGAAGTATGATTCAGGAAGGAGCAGTTGATGGGACTTCTGTCACAGGGCAACCAATAGTAGTCCTAAATAATATCCCCCCCAAAACATACACACACTCAAGAATGCAGAGCATAGCGTGTACACCAGGCCCTCTAAACCAACCATTTCTGCATTATAGGCTTGCTCCTACAGTGCTGTACCTAGCTGCTAATGTAGATATAGTGGTATGTACCAGTTTTGTCTGAACTGGGGCACATACACAACATATGAGGAGATATTACCTAGATTTTGGAAGTAGCAAAACCACATCTATGTGGCCTGTGGTCAAAAATAATTATCCTTGATTCTCAGGGCAATATCTCTGATGCTTTTTACTGCCTCACAATTGCTAGAGTGAATTTGGTGGGAACAAGTTCAGGAATCTCTGCACTACAGTGCTGAATTAATGTGCAGGATAGACGTGCCCTAAACATGTGAGACAGGATCTTCTCTGGGACCATTTCTGTCCAATCACTGTTCACAACCAACAGGATGTCTTCATGGATCTCTTTCTTAATTAAGATTCCCTAGATACTACACAGAGAACCTTGATACTTAGAGGATACTGCAGATTCCAATGGGCAAGTAAGCTGGSGGCAATAATTTTCATCATGGTGACGCCAAAGTCCCTACTGTTCATTCAGTCCTCAGTCTTTTTATTTTTCTGTAAGTTTAGCCAAATGTTGGCATAAATAAACATAATGACTAGACCACTGCTGTTGTTGTTGRTATTGTTATTTACTGACTTCTGTTGTTAATGTTATTATTTACTGAGTTGCACATTAAAAAGGATGAAACTCTACAAACTGAGATTGTTTCTAGCCAGCTCTGATTAGAAAACAGATCTATTTATGCATGTCCAGCAATTTACAAACGCAGTAGAAATATGGGTAAAAGGACCATGATCTTTTATAGTGTTTCATCTCACTTGATGCTAACCATTAATACTTTACATACAATAAGTAACTGTTTTGTATATGATTTCTCCCATTTTGGATTTACTGACTCACACATTTATTCACTTTTTCATTTATTTGTAACAATTAGGTCTCTGGAAGAGCAGGTGATATAAATATAGGAGTTCTTCATATTTTTATGAGTCTGCAATGAAAATGGAAATCATTTTTGGTATTCCCCTATTTGTAAATGGCATCACAAAGGCTATTCAGTTGGAACAAACAGCTATAATGAAAATGTTKTTAAAACCAGAACAGTAGACAATTGACATGGAAATCAATTACTAAATAGTAAATTAAGAAATTAACAACAACAAAGGTGGCAATGAGAGAATAATCACATGAACAATTTATTGATGACAACTAGGACTGAGATATTTTTTTTTGTATAAGTGAAAATAKAAAATACCTGTCATAAAAAGTAGTGTATTTGGAAAGATAATTGTTCAACAACTTAAATTATATAAACTCAAATACTTGGTTCTCCTCAAATAGGTGTAAATTCAGATTACTGTGTCTAGAGTTGTGCTAATGTAAAATTATTGCAAGGGCAGAACTGAGATGCAGAATGAAAAGGTTTCCAGTTTTTCATTTTAAAATGCATCCCTTCAGCCTTGTGTATTCAGAGGAATTCTGGTCAGGTAGAATTTACCTCTGAATATATATATTCTTTCCTTTTGTATATATGAATTTAGGTATCTAAAATATGGAAAGCAGCTATTAATAAATATCACAGTGGATTTCCTCATGTCCACAGACAGTGCACTGTTCACAGCAATGCTGCGCTTCCTCATACTAAAGACAGGAGTTACAAGTGCTCCTGTTCAAAGACAGCAGCATCAAGCACACAATATGCTATCTACAGTTATTAAAGGTCTTCAAGGGCTCAGAAGTACAAACCCAAGAAAGTGATGTTCTCATTTCACAAGTGCCTAGATGAATATTAAATATCAGAATTAATTCTCAGACTGATTCATTAATGAGCTTCAGGAGGTTACTTTGCATAATGATTCTGTTAAGCAGACATGAATACAACCTCAGTCCTACCTTTTAAAGTTTCCATAATGAACTTTTTGAGATAATAAATATATTTGGCATCATCCCTCTTGGTGCTACCAGAAACAAACCAGCTGTTTTCCACAATGAATATTTGGGGGTTGTTATATTCATTGCTTATCCAGTAAAGAAGCTGTCTGAGGCTTATTGATTCCAACTGCTGGAATTTCATGTGAGAGTCCAAGAGCTGGAAGCTCAGGGTTGCTCCAAAAGAAAGAGCAAAAAAGTCAGCTGTTCCTTTGATGTACTTCTTCTCAGCTTCACTGAACTCAGGTAGCAGAGATGAGAGGTTACTCCTCATGCTCTCTGGATAGTCACCATCAACAAATATGGGCTTAGCAAACCAGCCAAGCACAAAATCAAGGGACTTTTGACATTCTTTTATATTTTTTTCAGTCATATTTTGAGGTTTTATCCAGTGGGAGCTAAGGGCAATGGACACTTTTCCTCTTTGAGTTGGACGAAAATGATCATTGTAGAGATGCCAGACTTTAGCGTGAGCCTGTTGAAAAGAAAGACTGTAATTAATGCACCTGAAATTCACTTTGAAGTAACATAATTAGTTGCAAGCACCAATGTCCTGTGTCACAGAGTGACCATATCAATTTGCATTCAAGGGCTCAGTTTTCTTCATTCATCAGCAGCTTATAATCATAAATTCCCTTTTCATTAATAATATATTAATGAAAGATATCTCCAGTTGTTTTGGGAAAACAGCATCTCCATTTTCCTAAAAGCTACTGCAAGCACCAAACACATATATGACTGTTAGTAAGATATCTGTTAGCATTAATTATTATTGAGTTAGGGCATATTTTAAGTACATGCAAAAACTAAATGCATTTCATGTAACATGTTTCAAACTATGTTTTCACTAAAGGAATATCACTTTATTTGTATATTCACAGATATACGTGGGAAGAAAAAACATTGAATTTGGTCTATTCTTAATCACAGCACACATATAAGAAAAACTACCAATCTAGACTTTAAAAAGCCTATTGAAAAATATTTTTTCATAGCTCTTTAAAGTTATGCTGATAATTTAATCTCTCTTATTCAAATTTGATAAATTTACCTCCAGCATCAACTTTCAACCACCTGATTTGATTCCTGATATAACTTTATCTGTTATTGTGAGGAAATTTTTACCAAATTTCTCTTTCCTGTGATCTTACAGAGTGGGTTGAAACAGTTTCTTGATGTTGTCTTTGAAAGCTAAATAGATCAACTTCCTAGAGCCTTTCATTATCTTCAGGCACAGTTTCAAGCCCTCTAACCATTCTCATTGCTCTTCTCTGATTCTTTTCCAATTTGTCATTATCCTTTTAAAACTGCAGAAGCAGAATTGGAMATAATATGCCAGTAGTAGTCTTGCCAGCAATAAAACCAGAAAGAATAAATATACAGCTTAAGGCCATAGCATTACACTGTGAACATATGCTCATCTAAACTACCACAATATCTCTAGAGATTTAACCTTCTAAAATACACATTTTTTCTTTGCACCTAACTTAGCACAATCTTGATGACTTTATTAATCAACATCCCTGTACATATCAGTAGAAATCGCAAAGTTTTTTCCTAAGGCATTGCTAAAAATATAAAAAATATGTTCTCTTCATAAAGTATTAGAATAAACAATATATGCTAAATATTCTTACTTTACAACTTCATTTTGAACCTTCCAAATTAGTGATACTTAGCAATAGCATGAACCTTCAATTGAGATATACAAATTAACAGGAGTATTGAATACAAAATAGATTATTTTGTCAGAGTGGTTTTTTTTATGCCTCCCTGCAACATAAGCCATGTAGACAGCCTTATACTTCCACTCAATGCAGTTATTATGTTGATTAGTTTTATCATTAATGTATTGATAACTGATGCTTATAGTTTCCTTTTCATACACTTGTCTTTCAAGCTTTCAACTGTGACGATTTTCAGATGCCTGCATAATTAGGAAAATTAAACAATTAGATTATTAATCCTTTTTGACAAAGACATTGTTAATTACCTAAGAAAAACAATTACTTCTATCATTCTACTCTTCTTGCACAMTTTTAATTCCCACTGCTAGGAGAAAAGCAATTGAAAGTGAAGGACAAAGGTAAGATCAATAATCAAGACTCAGTTCAATTGCCCCCAYAGAGAAGCCTGCTGCCATTGAGTCATCACAGGGAATATAAAACATCTGTGTGGATCTGACAGCTACGATGCAGGCTCTAAAGCCAACTTGACCCGTGCCCTTTTCGAGCAGTCACCAACATCTGAAGAGAACAATTTTGGTAATTTTAAATGACAATATATACCTGTGCATGCACATCTGAACTGAGTCCTCAATTTAGCTTTATCGTACATGCTTTCAGTCGTAATTCAGCAGTAACTCTGATTGAGAGAGATGCAGTCCTACCATCTGTCTATATTAATATAGTGGATTTTGATGCTACTGAAAAACTAAATATAGCAACTACTTTAAAGTCTCATGACAAAAATGAGATCTGACTTGCATAGATATAATTTCACTTTATTGTGACTATCCATTCTGCTGAGTAAAGAAAGAAAGACACTAAATACCATGCCCAACACACTATACTCCCAATACTTTTAACTATGTTTTTTTTTTTAAATTCCATCAGGGAACAAATGTGTCACCACTTGCAAATCCAAAGGAAGCCTGGAGATACATTATTGATAGCAATTTCAAAAGATTTTCCTTGCTATCCCTATSCTTGCTATGTTGGACCTTCAGATTTCTTATCTTAACCATGACTATTCACAGAATCACAGAACGGTTGGGGTTGGAAGGGACCTCTAGAGATCATCCAGTCCAACCCCCCTGCTCCACCAGGGAAACCTACAGCATGTGCCACATGGTGGCATCCAGGTGGGTTTTAAAGACCTCCAGAGAAGRTGCTTCTACATCCTCTCTGGGCAGCCTCACAGTACTCTCACAGGAAAGAAGTTCTTCCTCACATGCAGATGGAACTTCCTGTGTTTCAACTTGTACCCATTATCCGTTGTCCTAGCACTTGCCACCACCGAGAAGAGTTTGGCCCCATTCTCCCTACATTCTCCCCTTAGGTATATAGACATATTCATCAGATCTCCTATCAGTCTTCACCAGGCTAAACAAGCCTAGCTAACTTGGTCTTTCCTCATAAGATAAATGCTCCAGTTTCTTAATCATCTTTGTTGACCTCAGCTGGACCCTCTCGAGAAGCTCCACATCCCTCTTGTCCTGGGGAGCCCAGAACTGCCCCCAATACTCCAGGTGCGGTCTCACCAGAGCTGAGCAGAGGGGCAGGATCCCCTCCCTTGACCTGCTGGCAACATCCTCCTGATGCAGCCAGGATCCCATTGGCCTTCTTGGCCATGAGGGCACTGCTCTCTCATGGCTAACTTGCTGTCAACCGGGACTCCCAAATCCCTCTCCAAATTCCCCAACACACAACTTCATCTCTCTGTCGTGCACTTCTGAGGACGCTGCCCACCAGTCTCTAGGATTATGGAGGACTTGCCCCGTAATCCACAGCCCTGCTCTATTCTCCTACCAGTGTAGAGAGATATTCCAGCATTTTCAGTATCCTTGATTTCACCAAGAAGCACAGAGGGGGAGAATCCCACAGATTATTCCTTTCTCTAAAAGTACTTAGGTGCTAGTTTATCCTTCACATGAATTAAAATAAAAAATATATCAAGGTTATCAATATGAGACTGTCTCACACAATTTTGGTTTTTCAACTGGTAAACTTGTCTGCCTCTATAGAAAATGAATGCACTTGAGAAGATGAGTTTTCGAGGCATGCAGAATGAGTCACTCTTTGGGAGTCCTCTCATTGATGGACAGAACATATCATTTAGTTTAGGCAAGCTTGATGACATATAGACAGAAAAAAGCATGTGAGAAGAAGCTTGCCTTAAATATCTGCCTTTAGAGGATGCATGAAGTGAAGTGGAACAATACAATCTTCAGGATAATAAACCCCTGAAAATTGTATTAAAGTCCACAGGTTCTGTGGCTGTAGATACTGAAGTAGTTCAATGAGAGAGGTAAATGGAGAATAAGCCAGTGACAGAGCAGAGAGTTTCTTTGGACATCTGGAACAGATGTTTAGAACAGCTGCCTAAGCCCAGGTGTCTAATGCTGATTGAGGCCCTTCAGAGTATTCTCTTCTCCAACTAAAGTTTCAGAGAGCTTTGAGTTTCAGAGGTCTCGCAAATCCTAAGCCACATCTGCCAGTTCCACAGAGATGATTTGGCTTGACTGGGAACACCTTATTTAAAATGACTGTTTACAAATTGGTTCTTGGAAGAGTCATACAGTCTCTAGTCTGTTATGAGAAAAACTATCTGCTAAAACCTAGATGCTGTTTTTTAGACTCTAAATTTGGGTCTTGCTTTCAGACAGCAATTTATACTTGTAGGCATCAAGCACTAGGCTGACATCTTTTTCTAGGATATGATCCTACATTTCTGAACCTGCTGAAGCTGGAGCTAACTCTTTACCAGCAAGGCCTCCATCATAATGTGGACTTCCTCACATACCTTGTCTTTGGCTAAACCCATCTATATATCTGTATGTCATTCATGGTAGAACCTTATTTTCAAATTGATATGCTCTGCTTCCCCTTACCTTCTCACTCCTTGTACCTCTTCAGACCACTCTCTACCTACACTCAACCTATGAAATTCTGCTACAGGCCATACTTCACTCGCCTCATAGAGATCTCTCTGTGAGTCAAAGTCAATAAGCCAGTCTTGCCAAACTGTCAGATCTCCGTCCAAGGCAGAAAAGCCATCTGCAATACCATAGCATGGGCTAGTCCTACAAAGCTCATGTTCCCACAGGGACAGCAAAAATAATTCAGCACAGACAAACAGACTTCACAACATGACACAGTCATATCCTGCTCTATCACTGGATAGATCTACACAGTTTGAGACTCTTTAGTTTAAGTCAATTTAGAAATATGCAGATATTTGTTTGCCTGACTGCTCCTCTAAATTCCTGTGCAAGGTCTTCAAGACCTTGTTCAGCATCAAGACCTTATTCAGTCTAGCACTGGTATGTATCATTCTGGGAGCTTTCAGTGCTTATTTCTATCATGATATATAACCTTCACARGAGCAGTTTGAGAATTATAATTGGGAACATCATGATTCCATAACTTGTGTTCATTTCTCTAGAACACATTGTCTTAATTTTTAGTTGTGTGTCTTCTGAACCAAGAACCATTAATTTCATAAATAAACTGTTCTCCATGCTCAGATAAACTATCTGTATTAACTCCTTATTTGCATGYTAATGAAAGTGAGTAGGAAGGTGTTACTGAAATTTGTTTAGTAATACAAAGAGAAGAATTAATTGGAAAAGATGTGCAAGGGATTTTTCATTCTAGAAACAAGGCAGATGTATTTGCCCAAAARAGTCATTACCAAGTCAAAAACAAATCCAAAATGGATTTAACTATTGCACTGGCATGGGAAACTCTAGCA